TGGGGAATTCTGGGAGTTGAAGTCCACCCATCTTCAAGTCGCCAAGGTTGAGGAACACTGTTCAAGACAGTAAAAGACAGATTCCTGAACAACAGGAACGGAGCTGTCAGACAGTAATGAGAAATGCACATTTATCTGTTATGCGCACAGCGTGGCGGCACCCATTTTCTTCTACAGCTTTCTGTGGACGGCTCACAGAATCCACATGCCAAGCTTAATACCATAATAAACTTCCCATTTAAAGGACTGAACGGGGGGTTGGTGAACCTCACCGCCTAGTGCAGCCCACAGTCCAGAATAGGGCTCTGGGTTTCAAGAGCTTAAGAATTTTGTGTTATATATATTTTAAAACAAGGTTCTAGCCCTTAGGGATGTGAAGATAACCTTGAAAGCGTATGAGCAATACTTTGTGAAACACCAGGCAGTTTGAAGACGAGGCAGATTCAAGGGAGGAGCTAACACCTTGCGTAACTCCTTGTCTGGTACAAAAAAAGGGGAGAAATTAGGTATATGCACAGAGTTTGAATAATCAGAGGGTGGTAAAAGGGTCCATCGGCTATAATTCCATGTATAGGCTATAAAGCTATCTGGGTTGTCATCACATTATGAGGCACAGCCACCAGACAATTGGCCAGACGCTGCCCCTTAGCTAAGAGTTGCACCATCCAAATGTCAGATCTAAACCCAATCTTTTGCCTCATTCCCTCACCCTCAAAAAACTTGGCCTGTTCTTTCAAGGAAGGGAGCGCTGGCTCTCAGCCCCAACTTCCTCAAAGTTGAATCTTCATAGGCTAGGGAACACTGTTCGTGGAGAACTGATTTAATTTTCCTCCCATCTGAAAAGCAGAGCATTCTCTACAACTTAGGGCAGTGTTTCTCAACCTCGGCCACTTTTCAGCTGTGTGGACTTCAACTCCCAGAATTCTCCAGCCTGCATTTTGCCTGGGGAATTCTGGGATTTGAAGTCCACCCAGGTTAAAGATGCTGAGGTCGAGAAACATTGGTTCAGAGCAGTGTTTCTCAACCTCGGCCACTTTTAAGATGTGTGGACTTCCCAGAATTCTCTAGCCTGCATTTTGCCTGGGGAATTCTGGGATTTGAAGTCCATCCATCTTAAAAGTGGCCGAGGTTGAGAAACACTGCTCTGAACCAATGTTTCTCAACCTCAGCATCTTTAACCTGGATGGACTTCAAAACCCAGAATTCCCCAGGCAAAATGCAGGCTAGAGAATTCTGGTAAGTCCACACATCTTAAAAGTGGCCGAGGTTGAGAAACACTGCTCTGAACCAATGTTTCACGACCTCAGCATCTTTAACCTGGATGGACTTCAAATCCCAGAATTCCCCAGGCAAAATGCAGGCTAGAGAATTCTGGTAAGTCCACACATCTTAAAAGTGGCCGAGGT